GCGCAGGAGCCGAGTTTGGCGGCGCTTGAGAGCGACGCGTGCTTGCCCGAGCGGCGCTGCCCGGCCGTGATAGCGCGCCGCGGCCCAACATGGCGGCGGCGCCGCCTCCCGCCCTGCGCGGCCGGATCTTTCCGTCGCACCGGGGCAGATCCACGGGGAGATGTGTCCATCCCTGCTGCGGGCTCTCTGTGCTCCTGGATTGAGCTGTTCTTGGCGCGCTGTTCTTCTGTAGAGCCGCGGATCCCGCCGCGGGGTCGGCGCAGGGCGGGCAGGGTGTGGCGGGCGCGGCGGTGGCTCCGCGGCTCACTCACTCTGCGGGCTGTCTGTGTTTCGTGTCCCCCCAGCTGCGGGAGTACAAGGTGGTTGGGCGGTGTCTGCCCACGCCGAAATGCACGACCCCTCCTCTGTACCGCATGCGGATCTTTGCTCCGAACCACGTCGTCGCCAAGTCCCGATTCTGGTACTTCGTTTCTCAGCTGAAGAAGATGAAGAAGTCTTCTGGAGAGATTGTGTACTGTGGCCAGGTGCGTGTTTCCAGCTGGTGTACTTGAAAGGAATTTTTAGGAATTGCTGTTATTGGGACTGAGACTGAAATTCACTCATCCGTCAGTTGCTGTAAAAAGAAGTGAGAAATTTCTTTTTTGAAAGTGGTGGTATATGTCCTGTAAACTAAATAGAAACTTCCCAACATTTCAAAATTATGAACCATGTCACTAGTCAGCGCTGCTGTCTTATTGTTGGATTTGCTTTATTGGCCAGTATACCTTTTATGAGACATCTGGACATTCATAATAGTGGGAGAGTGGACGTTTATATGCTTATACTCCTCTGCCTTGATTGTTCTTACTTCAAGAACATTCTTTAGAGCTGAAGTTTTGTATTTTTCTTTCCATGATGAATTACTAAAACTCTACAGTCTGAATTACCCAGATGTAAATCCACTTATGCTGTTAGAGGTAAAGAGAGCAAAGAGTTGTTTTTGACAGTAAAACTTAGAACAGTGATTTCATTAGAGCTCTAAAATATTTATTCTTAAAAGTGTAAAGTGGCGATAGCGCATTGTCTCTAACCATTTTCATGCTCTTCTGTTATTCCAGGTGTATGAGAAGTCCCCTCTGCGGGTAAAAAATTTTGGTATCTGGTTGCGCTATGATTCTCGTAGTGGAACCCACAACATGTACAGGGAGTACAGAGATTTGACCACAGCTGGTGCTGTCACTCAGTGCTGTAAGTATCTGTAAATGAGGTATAAATGATAGCATCAATATATAACAGAAGATTGAATCTCAAACTGAGCATGAAGTGTGCTGACTTAATCCATGGTAAGATAACTAAAACACTGGAAAAATAAAGTAGGGGGTTGCCAGATAATTCCTTGGTTGTTTATGTATGTATATGTGGAGTCTTATTTGTTACCAGTCTTTATACAGTGTCACTGACTGAAAATATTCCCACTTCATCCCAGTGTGACTTTCTACAATTCTAGTAATGAGTTCTACCCTACAAACTGAGAGTATAATGATCAGTATAATGATCTTTTAGGTGCTGTATGTATTTCTTGCACTAAATTTATTGTTTTATGATAATTGAATATATATTGCCAAGTCTTGTGGAGAGAATATTTCAGATATCATGTGGAAAATACTAGCATCTGTCCTGTGGAGAGCAAGTAAAAAAAAAAAATCACAGGAAAAAACCTATAGTCTTTGTTACTCCAAGATCTCATTGTCTCAGTTCAGGGAGCATTAAAGGTTGACCTGATTTCAGTCTGTTTTGTGAAGTACTTGAGAGATAAACCATTTGTATAGCTGATGCTGTTGACATTTGACTCCACAGTGTTATAAACACTACAGAATGCACATAAAAACCCAAAGAATATTGTTCTTAATAATGATATTCTTGTCATGTGTGCAAATATTAAATGTATCTTGTCGCCTTTCAAAAGCTGAAGTGCTGTTGAAAGTGAAATTTAAGGTTCTACATTACCTTACAATCATCCCCGTTATTTAACATACTGAAGGACTGCTTAAGAGACCAAGAACCTTATTTATCATGATACAGTGACTGATACTTTTATGTTCAAGAATACTTGTGACAGGTAAGTTTTTAATAGGTATGTTAGGTCTTCGTGGGAAACATTATAAGCACAATAGTATTTCAACAGGCATATCTTGTGAAACTGGCTATGGACGTCTTGATTTGAAGGCAGCGATTTGCGCTGCTGTAGGGAGGAACTTTCAGGTAGCCCATGCACAGATGGCTTCCTCTTGTTCTGAAAGCCTGAGCATGTGGGCTGAATATCAGATTCCATCAGTGGTCAGTTTCAAGAAAAGTAAAGATATCCTCAGGTCCTACCTTTACTTTCACCTCCCAGTAATCGTACTTCAGGGTTAATTCTGAATCACAGGAATTTTTTCTTGTGCAAAAAATGAAATAGTCTCACATATATTTCTTCTATACATGTGTGCCTTCTTGAAATCAGGCAAGAATAATAAGATGGCACTTTCTGAGAGGAGTTTGGTAATGAGTTACTGGAAGAATTTGCTGCTGCCTGTTGGTTCCGTGATATTTGTACCATCACTTTACATATTAAATCCAGTATGATTTTAACTAGGGTTGATCAGAAATTTAGAAAGTTGTAGATGGCACTATGAACATTTCCTGAAAAGGCGTTTATAAGATTTTTGAACTAAAAAATGTCCTTAAGATTCAGTTTTAATGAGTTCTCTTGTTCCAGACCGTGATATGGGAGCCCGTCACCGTGCCCGTGCTCACTCTATTCAGATCATGAAGGTTGAGGAAATCGCTGCCAGCAAGTGCCGCAGACCAGCTGTCAAGCAGTTCCATGTAAGTGAACCAGCACTGCAGTGGCTGGTGGGTCCTGATCCAACACTGGACTGGAAGAGGGGAGCTATCTTGTCTGGTACAGGTTTGCTTTGCAGCCAGAAATAGGGAGGGAACCAAACTTGTATGCAGAGGTTTACAATTTTGGTATATTATGATGAAGGCTTCTAAAGCTAGAATTGTTTGGAAGAAAGTCACAATGAAGTGAATATGTGTTACAGTGCAGAAAACGTGCCTCATTTCTTTTAAAAAATGCAAAATTAAGGCATCCCTGAAGGCCTATGAAGTATATCTAATTTGTGGATGCATTACTTCTCTGTGTAAGTTATTCATGGAATACGGCTTGGCTATTTATTGCAAACTGTTTTCTGTTATTTATCTAATACTCTATTAACGAAGAAACATTTTTTCTTGCAGGATTCTAAAATCAAGTTCCCTCTGCCACACAGAGTTCTGCGTCGCCAGCACAAACCACGTTTCACCACCAAGAGACCAAATACTTTTTATTAAATACAAAAACATGCTGTCAACTCTGTGTTGCAATAAAGGTCTTACTTGAACCTTTGACTCCCAGTTGTCTTTTGGAGACAGTATCCTGACTCTTTAGGAGTCATCCCCCTCCTACTCTTTATTTTCTGTAAATCATTGGCAGCTTGCAGTTTACAGCTGTGATTGTCTTGAACAGGTGAATGTTTCACATGCTGATTTATATTACTAAAATATCCCATCAATAAACCAAATTTTAATAACCAACTTACCACATCAGAGAAGTCTTACTGAGCATGTACAATCCTACATGCATTTTGTCTCTTCGGCACACTAAGTAAACAGTTGAATTCAGGAAGAAGGCAGCTTTTGGTGCATGCAGAATTCAGACTTGTCAACTTCACTTAAGCTGCTTCCAATTTTAAGCATTTAAAGCCAAAATCATAGTTCTAACCTGAACTTTTTCAAGGATGTTACACACCACACCACTCAGAATTAACTCAAGTATGCATACAGAGGTGCTTGGAAATGAAAAGTGATGGAGGGCTAGGCAGACTTACCTTTGTTATTAGATGAATGAATGAAAACTATGAAAATTAATTTTTACATCCAAACCCAATCCTTAATGTATAATGCCATAGTAAAAAACTTGCAGGCTCTGTGTAGTTAAGGTTAATTAAGGCTGTTTCACACTGAAAGCTGGCGTTTGCATCTGATACCTGCTTTCAATGATGGTGTGTTTGGAGTATTTTCTGAACAAGAGGCAGTCAGCTGCCTAAGTTCGTACTTGGATCTTGCTGTTGTTAGAGAACTGATGCTGTGCTTTAGGTGTTTGCTTAAAGACAAATGCTGGCACCAGTAGAGTGCAGGGAAGTACTGTGCTGAGGGGAGCCTGGGAACGTTTTTATTCTGAGTTAGCTGGAGGGGAACTGTCTGTGTAAGGGCCGGTGGTTGTTCTGCAGAACTTGGACCCGTCAGTGCTGCCACAGCAGCCCCCCTTCCACAGCCTCACAGCCCTCTGGCTCAGCTTTGCACCTTTTGTCCCCTCCACAGGGAATCAGTTCAGGCAGCTCATCTGTCCAAAACATGAATGAAAAAAAATGGCATTAATTTGGGCAATCCACTACCTCCCAGTCATGAGGGAGGGAGGAACTATAAACCCAAAGTAGCTGGAGGGTCCTGTGGGACTCAAAGAGTGGGAATAAGGGCATCAGAACGACGTTGGTTTATAGAACGTTTCAACTGAAAGAACGAAGCCCATGGAAACGGGCTTCAGAGTTAAGTTAAAGCACAAAATGTAACAGGCAGGGTGGAGGAGACCTCAGCAGGAACCAGCGCCGGCGTGTCCAGCCCGAAAACATCAACGCGCAGTATGTACGGGCGGATCTCTGGGGCTTCCGGCTCTTCCGAAGGCGGACGGCGCTGGAATACCGCCGAGCTCGGCGCTCCCGGTCTTTCCAAGCGCGGACACGGCTGGAACTCCCCCGAGCTCGGCGCTCCCGGTCTTTCCAAGCGCGGACACGGCTGGCACTCCGCCGGGCTCAGCGCTCCCGGTTTTCCCGTTGCCCCGCCCACGAGCACGCGCGCCTCGCCCGGTCACGTGACCCCGACCCGTCACCGTGCAGAGGGGCGAGCGCGATGCGCGGCCCTCGCGCGCCGCGGTCCCCGGCCCCGGAAGTGGCGCCGCTGCGGAGGCGCCGGGCGGGATGGGGGAGTCGATCCCGCTGGGTGCGCCCGTGCCGGTGGAGCAGGCCGTGCTGGAGACCTTTTTCTCCCACCTGGGCATCTTCTCCTACGACAAGGCCAAGGACAACGTGGAGAAGGAGCGGGAGGCCAACAAGAGCGCGGGGTCCAGCTGGCTGGCGCTGCTGGCCGGGCTGGCGCACCTGGCGGCGGCCGAGAAGGCCTATCACAGCATGACCTTCCTGGGACAGAAGCTAGGTACCTTTCCGGGGGAGGAGGGACTGGCCCCGCCGTCTCAGGCTGTGGCTCTCTCTCCCCGCTCCGGGCCCGCCCGAGCCGGGGGCCTGCCCCGGGTGCGGCTCCGCGGGGGAAGCGGGCGGTGTGAGGCCGTGTTAGCCCGTGGGTACACAGAGCTGAGTACCTGAGGGACTTGAGGTCTGTACCTCGGCCTGGTGCATCTGAAAGACAAGTGCTGGGTCAGCAAGTGTCCCTGGGCCCGGGGAGAAATCGGCTGTGCTGTTTGGGCTGCGGCTAAAGAATAAACAAGAGTGCATGCAGGTGCAGTGCAGGTGGCACGGTGGCTCCTGTGCCAATCGATGCAGCTCTTCGCTGGCCGGCAGGCTACCTGCTTCCCCTTCCCAAAATTTAGCTAGAGATATTTCTGTGCTGAGATTCTCTGGCTGAGATCTGGGCAAAGGTGAGCTCAGTGGGGTGACGAAAGGATTAAAGCTGATGTTAGATCTGCGTATGTGCAAGTACTTGGGGCTGGAGATAGCATCCTACAGACTCTGCAGGATCTCAAGAAGCTTTGGCCACAATCTCGGCTGCTTCTTGCTTTCTTAGTGCATAAATAGAAAAATCCCAAACTGGCACAGGATGAGCTGTCATCATGTTTCCCTCTGGACAAGGCTGCTTGTTTTCTCTTTGAACTGCAGACAAGCATGGAAAATGGATCAAGGGATATGGGTCTGATGTGTAACACAGTAAAGCATCAAGAAAATTCTGCTTTGGTGTTTAAGTGGTGACTTGGAACTATTTTATATATTTACAGACAACACTGTCTATAAGACTGACTTTAAAAGTTAATTTGGTGCTTGCAGAAAGGATGAAATTGAGAACAGAAAGGACAAAGTTTTGTTTGTTTATATACTTCATGGGCAACTACAATAGACGATTCTTCATCCTGCCCATGACATGAGGGCTACTCATGGCTTAGGAAGGGAGCTGTTTCACAATGATATCCAGTTCTCTGTCTTTCTACCTCAAATTGCTAAGGTCACCTTTGAACATTATATATGTAAAATGGATCCACCCTTACAAAATTTATAAGCAGTTTCAATGTGGAACCTAAATTTGGAATTTTTAAAAGTTCCACCAACCCAATCCCTGTGATCCTTGCTCTGCTGCAGCTGTTGAGTGCCACAGTGGCACATAAGTTCTTCTGTAAATAGAAAGTGTGAAATAGGGTTAGTACATTTGTGCAGTCTTTTGGTAGTGTCAAAGTTAAATATCCTTTCCTTTGACCCTCTACTTCTGTCTTTTTTTCTTTTTTAAATTTCTCATAGTGTTGAGCAGGTAGAAGGAAGCACAGACAACTTCTTCCCCCTTGTCCCCCTCACCCCAGGTTTTAGTTATGGATTAACCTGCACTGTGGTCTCACTGAGATAAAGTGTGATTGTTTTTGCTTTGAATTTTGCTTTATATTAAGACCGTGTAGGGACTAGGAACGTTTGACTGGTAAACACAGATGTCACATGGTTCTGGCTTAAAGGTTGCTTTGCAAATTTGAGCGCTTTGTGATTGAAGAGGGGTTGCTAGGGGAATTCTCCCCAAAAGATCTAGAATTAATTAATTTGATGGAGGCTATTAAAGTTTGATTAGTCACATTAAGATGACTTGATTCTTCTGATTCCCATAGATGACAGTATTTGCAGGTCACGTATCATAGTAGCAAATTTAACTGAACCCTTGTTTTCTGAAAAGTCACACCATAACTGAGGGAGTTGAAGTTTTGCAGCAGTCATTGGCTGCTGAGATATAAACTGGACAAGAGTGGCTTGTGTGAAATTACATAAAGTGCTTCTGAGCATATGCTCTGTGTAATTCAGTGACAAAATAACATACTGAATTTTGTTTCTTGGTTAAAAGAAATACTGTGATCAAACAACACTTAGGAACAGCTAGAAGAGAACAAGCATGGTTATGTAGAATTTTCCAGTGTTGCTGTCTATCTTTGCTGTCCCTGAATTTTGGTAATACCTCCATATTTATCTGAACAGGTGGTCAGTCATTCTTCAGCCGAAAGGACTCCATCCGAACCATCTACACATCTCTGCATAATGAGCTGAAGAAGGTGGTGGCGACGGGTCACAATGCACTAGGAGGAACAGCTCCTCACTTGGAAGAGCTGCTTTCTCACCTGTCTGAACAGCTCTGTTTTTTTGTTCAGGCTCGGATGGAAATTGCTGACTTCTATGAAAAAATGTACACGCTCAGCACCCAAAAGTTCATTAACTCTGAGGAACTGGTAAACATTTTGGAATCCATCTTAAAGAAATACAGCTCAAGGTCAGTGCTTGTTTGCTGGCAGTACATACTCAGACACGTGATCTGTAACAACTGATGTTGAAGTTCAAAGCAAGCCTAAAGACTTTGCTGTCCTTTGACTGCTGAGCAGCACAGCTTCTTCACGAATGCATAAGTCTGTGTTGGCCAGCAGCATCATGTTTCAAAATATGAGTCCTCCAAAGAAGAAAAATAACAAAAGGAGAGTGTTTCTGCTTATGGTGTTCTAGGACCCTTCCTCCCTATTCCTTAATACTCAGCATATTTGTTTTCAGCAGAGAGGATGAGTGATTTTCGTTATATATAAGGTGCAAGGCTTCTTGCGCTTTTTCTTTGGGAGGGGAGAGGAAACAAGTCTTAATTCTATATGGACTTCAGTAAAAGTGACATATAAATAAAACAAGATACTTGTGCGACAGTTTTACTTTTCAGGCTAGAATATACGTCTGCTTAATTCTAAGAGCTGCACCACAGCTATCTGGCCTACCTGGAAGGGTTTTATGGTACTCTGTTAACCACTTCTCTTGAGAGGTCTTGGAGCCAGGAGAAGAAGCACCTCTGAGCCTTCAGTCCCATTATTGTGTGTTGAAGTTAAGATCTAATAGTTCCTGTTAAAAGAATCCCAGAATGTTTCTAAGTGATGCTGGGGTGGGTATTGCACATCTGACATATGTGAGCCTTGAAAGTGATGGCAGTTTAAAAACGAGAGAATTTTTGAATGCTTGTCAACACACTCAAATTCTACCTCTTTATTTTAAACCAAAGCAAATCTTCATGAGTGAAATAGTGTCTAAGATGTTTGGGGAGGATATTCTTAGGTCTTACTTTTTTCAGTTATGATTTTTAAAGGGTTCACCTAGGAAAAATAAAAATAACTCAGTGCCGCTTTCTGATATTCCAAATTTGAACACTGCAGGTGACTTCCTTATTTTTTAGGAATAACCTTAGCAAATTGCTACATAATTTTGCAATCTGAAAATCAAAACTACTTTAATATGATCTTACTAGTGATGTTTTGGAGTTCTTGGCTTGTGAACCCATACAGTGGGTCAGGGCTGTTAGCCCAATAAAAAGCTGAAACTTATATATGATTTCCTTGGTGTGATAAACATTAAGGAGGAAAGGGAAGTACGTTTGGGGGGGCTTTTTTGAAAAGTTGAGTTATGTTGTACACGAACCATTGCCATCTGTTCTGAGCATGTGCTGAATCAACAGCACTGTTAAAAATCTGAAAACCAAAACTCATACTTTGATGAATTGATTGGAGATTGTTGCATACAAAATGTTTTACTATCCTATTTAAATAGATTTCACCTCTGTACTTCTAAGGCATTGTTATATATTATATAATGTGTTTATATAACATACATTATATAATTATATGTATAATAACATCTTAAAAGAAAATAAGTAGTGTCTCCCTGGGAAAAATGCTGATGTTTTTGCTTTGAGTTAACAAGCAATTCCAAGATGGAGACAATATAAGATGCTGTTAGAGCTGATTCAGTAGCTGCAGTGTGGCCCTCCCCAGTCACATAGTGAATATTTCTGAAAAAAAGTGGGCATAATGATATCTTCCTTTTGTCCTTTCTTTCAGTTTCTTCATATGTCAGATCAGTTTCTGGGAGCTGTTATGTTGATGTGTACTGGCTGGAAGGCATTTCTGATTTACAGTCTCTTATCCACTCAGACGAAAAGTCAAATAAACTCATCCTTACCCAGTCTCTTTCCTCTGTCAGTATATTCCTCACTTGTCGTTGAGGATGTGTGCCATTATTTCAGTCAGCTGTGCTAAGGCCAGACAGGGCATGTGTTTTCTAGATAAGTTCTGGCCTTGGTTTCTTTCCTTTACATGCGAAAATAGCTGTTCAGATGGTGTAGATGGTGTAGAAATGCTTGCTGGTAAAGGAACAGTTGAATTAATTTACTGTTAACAAGTCATATTGTCTGTATCTGAAAAATCATTAGTTATTAAGTAGTTTAAAGCTATTTTGTTACTTTTTTTTTGTTACTACTTATTGCTGACTTGTACACAGCCAATACTAGACATTTTCCTCTCCATTTCTCTTTAGAATACAGCTGGAGAAGCAACTTTTCATGAAATTTTTTACTGTTGGTTTTGAGTGGGATCTTAACTGAAATAATTAAAACAGCATCAGGAACGGGTTCCTTTAAAAGCTTAGTATAAAATGAATTAGTAACTAGAAAACCTATTTGTATGTAATAATTTTTAAGTGTTGAATGTTCCTCATCCAGTCAGCATTTTGTAAATACATGTGTGAATGTGTGATATATGGATGGAAATAGAAAGAAAAGTGTGACTTCTTCATAGTCTGCAAAACAAAACTCTACTATCCCTCCACTTCCAAGAATGAATGGGGGGGGGAATTTTCCAATGTCTTTTTAAGTTTTTAGCACTCTGGCTTATTAAAATATCATAAAAACATGTCTGTTTTGCACAGAAGCTCAGATGCTTCTGTGTTACAAAACTCAATTATATATCAGCAGATATATTTAGTAGATAACTTGTTAGCTTACTCTGCAACCGTATTAGCATACTCTGCAAGCTTCTCAGCTGTGGCTGAGGTGTGTATTTTTGGATTAAAACAGTTTAGCAAGTCCCGCTGTGCAGTGAAACATTAAGAAAACCATGAAGCAAAGTAGAGGTGGGAAGCTGTACATCATACTGTTAATGCAAGAGACTTTAGCAGTACTGAGTTAGTTTAGATTTTTAAACTGCTTTGAAGAATAACCTTCTTGGTCTGACTGCAAGTGTGTTGAAACCACTGTGCTGTAATAGGGACTGTCTGGAACAAATAATCTTGTATAATGCTTTTTTACACTCTCATAATACACAGCAACAAAACTGGTTTGTTTGGTGAATACCAAAACCATTGGAGATCTTCAATGTTGACTGTTAGCAGAATATTATTTTTGATTGACTCTTGTTCAGTTTCTCGAAGAAATGTAAGTGTGCTCTGGACTTCTCAGAGTGGCCAGTAAGCACTTATCTCTGCTATAGCAGGTTGAGCTGGCAGTTGCTGATGTGTACTGTGTACAGAAGGTGGCTGGTCACCCAGCCTGACCTGTTTGCACAACGTGGTGCATCAGGTTTATGATATTCATATTTCATTTTCTTCAAATAAATTTGGACTTGCGTCTTAATAACAAATCCTTTCAAGACTCAAATTGTGGCTTTCAAAAAATGAGCTGCTTAAAAATAGTGACAGAATTGTCAGACTATTTTCACAAGCCTAAGAATTAATGTTTTGACAAGAACCCGATAGAAAGTCAAATTAAAAATAATGAAGGGAGAGGGGAAGAAAAGCACGCAATTTTCGTTCTCTCTTCTACTCCATAACAAAATGAAGTGTTTTGGTTTTGAACCAACTATGTCCAAAATGGGTTGTATGTATTGTGTCCTGAAAGCTGAAGGGAATAATGGCATAATAGCTTTGTCTGAAGATCAGCTGTTAAAAGTTGAAAAAAATCAGTATGAACTTCTTTGTTTTAAACCAAAACAAGACCCAAGATATTTTTCTGAAGTGAGAGGATAAATCTGTCTTTACTTAAATGGAAACCTCATCAAGTCTTATCTTTGAACTATTGGTTGTTCTTTGTTGAAGACCTCTTAAAGAGTCCTAAATGCTAATGAGGGAACACATTTACCAAAAAGGCCACTTCTGTCTTTGCTGAAGGCTCATTCCTTCAAAGTTGCATATTTTACATTACAGTTTTTCCATTTCAATTAAGTATGTTATTATCAATAATTTTATAAGTTCACAAGTAATGTAAGTATCATGGGAAGAGAGGTAGGCTGTATCTGTTTTCTTTTCCTCCTGATACTTAGAAAAAATAAAATGAGAAGAGAAAGCTGTAGAATGGATTTTTAAAATTCCATTTCATCGAGATTTGTTCTAATAGCAGGATCACTCCTGTGAATAAGATGTGCATTGAGGTGTTGATTTTGTTTGGTTTTTTTTAACATCTTTTAAATTGAGAGCTGATTTTTGACCTGAGTTTTAGTAAGATAAATTGGTTGTTTCACCATCTTCGTTGTGATATGACAAAATCCTGCCAAATGTTTTTTCCACTCATTGCTTTTAGTACACCAAGGTTTGAAGTTTGAGATTTGGTTAATTGGTAAATACAGTTAATTATGGTTCCATTGACTAATTTTCTGTTACAATTTTAGTGTGACTTTAACCAAAAAAAAAAAAAAGAAAAGAAAAGCTCAACTTGGCTTCCTCATAGCTTTCCTGTACAGATTTATAATCCCCTTGATTTAACTTAACATCTTACTGCTATTCCAGAACTATCAAGACGTATTTTCTTGCAAGAAGGGATTTAAAATTGGAACAAGACCACCTGGATTTAAAGAGAAATGGTGTTATAGTAGTTAATGGATCAAGATAAACAGTGATTGATCTTGAACTGATGAAATATAACTCCCTTACTTTGATAGAGAAATGTCTGATGGCTGTTTTTTGTCAAATGTGAAGTACTGTTTGTTCATGAAAATATTTACCCTAATTATGTAAAAAGAACTTTTTAAAAAATTAACAGTATTGTTTAGTTTATACTTTGTTCTGCTTTCATATTTTATCTTCTGTCTGTTAACTGGCAAATGCTGTCTGATTATTTCATTGTTGTGTACAGCAGTTCTCATGTCTTGACTAAAATTATGTTTTCTAGATTTCATCATCCAATCCTCAGTCCTCTTGAAAGCAGTTTCCAGCTGGAAGTAGATGTGCTTGCTCATCTCTTAAAGGCTCAGACTCAGATCTCAGAGTGGAAGTTCCTTCCGTCCCTGGTCAACTTGCACAGTGCTCACACAAAACTACAGACTTGGGGTCAAATTTTTGAGAAACAACGAGAGACCAAGAAGCACCTGTTTGGAGGGCAGTCTCAGAAGGCTGTACAACCTCCACACCTCTTCCTCTGGCTGATGAAGCTCAAAAACATTCTCCTTGCCAAGTTTAGCTTTTACTTTCATGAGGCCCTTAGTCGACAGACAACAGCATCTGAAATGAAAACTTTGACTGCTAAAACAAATCCTGATTACTTTGGGAAAATTTCCAGCTTCATCCGGAAGTATGATGCCATCAATGTTTCCTTAATTTTTGACAATCGTGGATCGGAGAGTTTCCAGGGACATGGTTATCACCATCCCCATTCATACAGGGAAGCCCCCAAAGGAGTGGATCAGTACCCTGCGGTGGTGTCTCTGCCCAGTGACAGGCCTGTCATGCACTGGCCCAATGTGATCATGATTATGACTGATAGAACCTCTGACCTCAACAGCTTGGAGAAGGTTGTTCACTTCTATGATGACAAAGTCCAAAGCACGTACTTTCTGACGCGCCCTGAACCTCACTTTACCATTGTAGTTATTTTTGAATCCAAGAAGTCGGAAAGGGACTATCATTTTATTTCTTTTCTCAATGAAATTTCACATTCTCTTAAGAACTCCAAAGCTTTTGCGAGCTTGAAGCCTGGATCCAAAGGGTGAAATACAGACTGTTTACAAGTTGTCAAGGCAGTATGTCAGCCTTGAGGGAGCTGTAGCTTTCAAGAGTTACATAAATTTGTGATTCTCAGAGTCTAATTGAAAAGGAACTTTTTTTTTAATGTTATAAGTTCCTTTCTTTTAAGCTAGCAGACACTTGAAAAGTATTTTTGGGCAGTACTCAGTGGGGCAATTTAATTGTGGGGTGCTAAATAGCCACAGTGGGATTTTTTTGGTGTGGTTTTCAGTATTCAGTATGATTTATTTTTTCAGTCCAACAATTTTGTTGCCTGTATCAGAAAGGAATATATGCACTTTATCTTAGTCTGATCACTGACTGTCTTCTACAGAGTTTATTGAAAATGTCGTAAGGATGTATCTTTTCAGAAAACTGCATTGCCTGACAGGAATGATTTCTGGGAACTAAATGCTGATGCAAGGGAATATTAGAAAAAGTGAACCTGCAAGGATACATTTTAAATAAAAATATGAGAATCAGGAAAAGCACTATTGTTAGTTATAATTTAGTTTTCAAAGGGTTTAAAATGATAATTGAGGTCCCTGACACTGTCTGTTAAGCACCAGTCTCAGTTATAAATGCCCTGTGTCAAAAAACTTGGTCATTGCTCCAGAACTTGGACTGGGGCAAGAAAAACTGCAGCATGGGCTGGAAGGCCAGTATTCACCGGAGTGCTGTGACAGTGTGGGTACAGGAATAGTCTTGGCTCAGACTAACTGAAGGAGACAAGCTGAAGTTGCACAGGTGTTCTAGAAGGAACAGCTCCACAGAAAAAGCAGCAAAGCTGTTTTCAAATTGTGCTTTTGTCTGGCTAACTTAAAAGAGAAGCAAAGAAAGGCAGTAGGAAATGCCCTTTGTAAATAATTTATTTTCTAGTTTGCTGTTCATCTCAACCTGGATTTGTTTTCAGATTTTTATAAATGCATAGTTTTTTCAATCTGTTCAGTTTTAAATAATTTAATAATTAAGCCAAAACACTGGGGATTTGGATTTAAATATATAGCCTATGCAGTGTGTTTACCTCATTCTAAAATGTCTCTTTCACCACTTCTAGACTGCAAGTTTGGAAAAAGTATATTTTCTAGTTACCCCGAAAGTGCTTTAATTTGGAAATCAGTATTTCCAAATACAATAAAAGGGTCAATTTGGCTGTACCTGTAGCCTTACATTGCAGGGTTCTAACTGTTAGCTATGCAGTTGTGCACATGCTTTTATGGGAATTCAGGAACACTTATATACATATATAAGTGTAGTAAAATTAAGTCATTAGTTGACACTTGGTAAGGTGTAACATCAGGTTTAATTTAAAAGGGAGTTTAGGTCAAAATGTTGGTTTCTGTTAAGACTGAAATATGAAAGGTACCATTGCAAACGTGTCTTTTAATGATTCCCTTTCTCTCCCACTTAAAGTTCTGGTAACTTGTTTTGCCTGGCTGCAAGTGCTGATTTTTTAACAATCATATAAGCACATTCTGTTCTCAAAATGCAAGCTCTGACTTGCCACTTTGTGCCAAAAGGAGCCTTCTGTGCTTTGCTATAACTGTTGTGAATATCTGTGCTATTGCCTTTCACCTGAAGTCTCAGTCTGACTTCAGCATCACTCTCAAAAGCTCAGTCTGCTCTTCGTTGCTGGAAAATAACCAGAGTTGCAAATATACCAGAAACTGGAGGATACCTGTTTGTAACAGCATTACACTTTGCAGCTTGAATTGCTCTTAACAGCACAAAGTTGCAAATGACAGTATTGAGAGAGTTTGAGTGCTTCCCTCTGTGGGACAGTGACCTTGTAATAACATTGTAATTTTGACTTCCTCAGCCTGAGTAATAAGAATCTGTTGCTAGAACTGATTCCCAGTCTTCAGCAGTGTAATAAAGTGTTGTACAAAGTCTGTCTGCCTGTACAATATTTCCCTGTCATATTAACTATCTATAGAAAAGAGGAAAGAAAACAGGAAAGAGACTATGTGTGGTACAGGCACCTTCTTGTTCATTTCTGAGTTGCTGGGGATGAGTTGGAAGAAGTGAAGGAGAAATCTGATGCCCTTTGGAGCAGCTTTTAACGGTTGTTGAAATGGCTACAGGCTGTTCTCAATGGTTTTTATGGGGAGAGGAAAAGGAGATGACTGTTCAGCAGACCTGGTAGTTCACTGCCCATACTCCTGCCACTGTGTTTGGCAAGTGGTGTCTCAGAATAGGGAAGGGATGTTAGGTGATGTTTCTGTGCAGGAGGAGGTGAGACCTGCTTTGCCTCTTATAAATTCTAAGGTGGTTTGCTGCAGTTTTCTTCACAGAATCTTGGAGAAGCAGCCAGAGGGGCCTTCTGACTCATGGGTAAGAAGTTCTGAATATTTTGGTTGATGAAGAAACAAAGGGAGCCATAACCATTACCCTCATGGTGTGGGAAGGGAGGGAATGGGAGAGATGTGCAGGCGGTGGAGAGAACTGGGTGCTGGAGAAACTTCTGTGGAGCTGTCTGGGTTTCAGAGTCCTGTCCCTGATACTCTCCTTGTTAAGATCTCAGCCTTAAATTAATACAAGATGGGAAGCAGAAAATTGAGACTGTAGGAAGTAGCTTGGATGAGAACAGGTGAAGCTGAAGAGAGGTGACGCTAGAATCAGTATCAAATAGTTTTGCAGAGTTGAGGTGTGCTATACCAAAAACTGTGTGTGCGGTGTGAGTGTGTGTGATGAATGAATATAGATTTGTTAAACCCATGAAAAATTCTGGCACAGTTCTTATTTCTTGCTTTGAGGAGTTTGTTTTAAATTACAAATAAGGTAGTTGGGAGTCTGAGTTGGGTTCAAACTGAAAGAGGGGAAATTTAGGTTAGATATATGGAAGAAATTCTTTGCTTTGAGGGTGGTGAGGCACTGGAACAGGTTGTCTAGAGAAGTTATGGACACCATACTTGAACTGGTGTTCAAGGTCAGGTTGGATGGAGGTTTTAGCAACCTAGTCTAGTTCAAGGTGTCCCTGCTCATGGCAAAGGGGTTGGAACTAGATGATCTTGAAGGTCCCTTCCAATCCAAACCATTCTATGATTCTATATCGATGATGTAAAATTGGCTAGACCAGTAATGAAAACCTGCGTAATTAAGCGAGGAGGAGAAAATGTCTGTGGAGTAAGTAAAGGAACCAGAAACTCAGTAACTGGAAAAAAAAATATATTCGTTACTAACTTCAGTACTGGAAAGATTGATCAGTCTCTTTACTGTAAGAACTGGAAAAGAAATACACTTTTGCTGAGCTGGGTGATATCCTGTCTGGCAGCTTTTCCTCTGCACCAGTGTAGCTAAGCAAGATTAAATGTACTAATGTGCTTTAAAAGTCTCATATAAATTACTACTTTAAGTGCAAGATATAAAGATGTTTGTGATGGTGTACTGAAAGCCATCACTTCCAGACATATTTAAACATTTTTAAAACAGGTACTGAGATTTGATATTCCAAGTGCCACTCAGATTGCTTATAATAGCAGTGTGGAAGCTTATCTTGCAGTAAATTGCATGTACCTCATCACTTACTTCAGTCCATGAGGATTTTGGCAGAATATTTAATTTAGTAACCTTTTGCCTGCAGTGTGATTTTTGACAGCAAATGTATTCTAAGAACTCCTAGGTGTTTTATATTTCTGTCTTGTAAGCTGTTTTCTTCAACATGTGTTGTTCAGGTTTTTTTCTTGAATAAAATATCTTTCCTTTTCTCCTGCCTTTGCATGAAGAGAGTGCAGGGAAACTATTAATATATTTGGTATTGTGCTGCAAAGGACCGCAACATATGCATAATATTCAGGTTTTAATGATCTATAAGTAATGTAAGTTCCTGGTACCTATTTGAATACTAACACTTATTATTTATCTAATTGACTTTAAAAAAAAAAAAAAAGTCTGCACTATAACTGGAAGCAATTTTATGGCACTCACACAGTTGATTATTGCTCTGACCTGCTCTTCATATATGAACCTTTTGAAACATTTGTGATCATTCTAGTGGTAGTTCTTTGATATCATTTATCTGAGGATTCCTTGTGTAGGTCAGTCTGCTGCTGCCTTTGACTGCACTGGGTCCTGATCTTCTCATAACCAAGCTTTGCTTAAGAAAATCAGCAGTGTGCTGTACTTCATTCCTCAAGTCCTGTTTTTTGGCCCAGTGCCTACAACCCCTCCTCTTGCAGTAAGCACAGCTTGGCTCGTCCTGGGCTTGTGGTCAGCTTTGTGGTTGCTTCCAGAAGTGCTGGTACTAAGCTTAGTTGGCTGGAAAATTTGGTGTTTCTGCCCTGTTTTCTCCATCAGTCCTTACATCTGAAAGATATAAGCCAGCCCTGCCAAGGTGGATGCAGCTGAGGCCAAGCACTGCTTATTTGCTGGGGCTCTGCCTGAGCCTCAAGAGCGGTAGGTCAGTGTCCTGCCTGCTGGGGACAGCTGTTGTGTGGCTCAGCAGGGATGGCCTTCGGGCTGCGATTGTGCAAAGGCAGGAGCCGTTATGGGAAGAGCGGGAGAGGCTCTGGAAATGAGAATGCTGACAAAGGACAGCAACAGCATAATGCTTTGCAGAGCAGGCAGAAAATATAGAAGTCAAATGTAAGATGGAATTGGACTTTGATTTCCTGTTAGCAAAGGACTGATTTAAAGATTAAGTCTCCTTTGGAGAATAAAGGTATCAGATTTTTGCCATGAAATTGCTTTAGGTATTCAATCATTTTCTTCCAGGAACTGCCTCTTTCCCTCTCTTGTGCATGAACGCATTCAACATATTGCCTGACTTATTTTGCAATTGTTATGGGGCTTTTCTGGCAGAGTTTGCAGGCCTGAGTTCAGTTCTCTCCTAACTTTCAACATGGCGTTGCAGTTGCTGGTTTGTGGTTGGATAACAAAGTTCTCCACCTTGCAGCTGGGACCTGGCTGTGCCCTGGCCTCGTGTAGCAGCATGAGAATAGCAAAATAAGGGAGGAGAGAAGTCACTGCAAGATGAGCTGAAGCAGGTGACAGCTCTGGGACAGACAGGCAGGGAGAAAACAGATGCTGAAGGACTGCATTGCAGATGGACTGTGAGCAGAAGGTTTTTGTTGGCCCCTCTGTGTTGTGGCCTAATTTCACAGAAATCCGTATAGATTTTATGTCCTGAAAAAGCTATGCTAGACCCCGCCTGCAGTTGCAGCTGCTTGTTTTATGTGACTTCTTTGAAATAACTATACTGTTTCCAGGATGGTGGTGTTTAATCTTTAGATACCAACAATCTTGGCAAAGCAGCTATTTTTGGGCAGGTGATTAAGGCAGCCTTTGTGGTATCCCATTGTTAGATGGGATATGCTGCTACTGTGCTATAAGCGAACATCTGAAGCTTCAGAGCAATGCAATGTTGTGCTTTATTTGTGCAGGTCACTGCTGATAAGATAGAATATGTAGTGGCACTAAACTTTTTGCTCTGTGGTGTATGCTTCATTTGGTACAAAGGTACTGAGAGGTTTTTTAGTGTGTAAAAGTT